AGGCCGCCCCTTGGGGTGGGGGGGGGGGGGGAAGCAACTAGTTGAGTCATTACTCAACTGTCCAATAGCTTATGCATATCGGATAGTCGACTAGTCACTTACATCTCTAATTAGCCAATGTACCATTATTTTTTAAATGAAGTTGAATGATCTTAAGACACAATGTTGCCAAGTTATCAGTTTTGTGGCACAAGGCATTGCTCTGTAGATTTTACCATTGTAGCAGTGGCAACATCACCTTACTTCTCTCCTTATCACTGTCCAATAGCTTATGCATATCGGATAGTCGACTAGTCACTTACATCTCTAATTAGCCAATGTACCATTATTTTTTAAATGAAGTTGAATGATCTTAAGACACAATGTTGCCAAGTTATCAGTTTTGTGGCACAAGGCATTGCTCTGTAGATTTTACCATTGTAGCAGTGGCAACATCACCTTACTTCTCTCCTTATCAGGTGAATCCTCAGTATCACTGTAGTATACAACAAAATGGCTGTTATTTTAGACTGAAGTACCATGCATTTCTCACACAGTGTGCCACTTTCAAGAGCAAACATTGAAGTGGGTGATATTAGGTATATAGGGGATAAGGCATTTCTCCCTTATATATCTCTGTATAGGTTATGTCTAGACTGCAGGCTTCTTTCAAAAGAAGCTTTTCTGGAAGAGATCTTCTAAAAAAACTTCTTTAGAAAAAGAGCATTTACACAGCAAAATCTCATTGAAAAAATGATCTGCTTTTTTGAAAGATAGTGTCCACACTGATTGGACGCTATCTCGTATATAAGTCCACCTGGAACCAGTTCAGGCAGGGCATTAGGTCAACTGTTGTCTCCCGGTGCTGTTGCCCAAGGCTATCTGAGATGAATGCTTATAGGGACCCCCCTGGACACCCATCTCTCAGCTTCTCCTGCATGCTTGCTACGTTTTGGAGAGACCACAAAGCTTTCGCAGTGCGTGCTCTGGTTGCACATTTTTTGGACGCCACAGCTTACTCCTTGCCATGGAGCCGGAGCTGCCCTTGTGCATGCAATGGCCCCACACTGCCATGCTGCAGTTTCTGCAGGCTGCCTTCCTGGACCTGCATGAGCTCAACACCAAGCTCATCATTGAGAACCTCTCCCTATGTGAAGGAGCAAGACTCTTGCAACTGCAGCCCACAGTGGAGAGATGCTTTTGGAGGCTGGACACTTCGACTGGTGGAACCGGCTGTTCATGGAGTGGTGGGATGACCATCAGTGGCTCCAAAACTTCCACATGTGGAAGGTCACCTTTTGGGAGCTGTGTGCCTGGCTTGCCCCTGTCCTCTTCCAATGCGACACCCACCTGCTGCCCACCATCCCCTGGAAAAGTGGGTCACCATCACCATCTGGAAGCTTGTCACCCCCAGACAGCTACCGGTCAGTGAGCCACCACTTTGGCATGGGGAAGTCCACCGTCAGGTCCTCCTCATGGAGGTAAGGCACTCTCTGGCTGCAGTCCCTGTGTGTGTGTGGGGGGGGGGTTATCAGG